CCCCCAGCCTTTGATCCAGCATCTTTTATGGGCCCTGTGCCCCTTAGTCCCCAAGTCTTCAAGGCCGGTGACACAGGGAGGAGGAAAGGGGTGGGAGTGACCCCCCGCCGTGCTGTCCTGGTCTCCCTGGCAGGAGACAGTGCTGCCTGGCCGGCTCCGGCTGCGCGTGCCGGCAGCGATGGGCGCGGGAACACCAGTCGCGGGGCTGTGCGACACGGCGGTGTCCATTTCCCTGCCTGTCACTCAGGGCCGGGAACCAGGCCAGGAGCTGCCGGCGGGGCGCGGGGGCAGCGGGTCCGGGCAGCTGCTGCGGTGTCTCCTTCCCCGCTGTCTCCTGCCCCACAGATGTCCTGTCCCCGCAGCTGTCACCTCGGGGGGCTGGTGGCCCAGAGGACAGCCCTGGGCTGGCTCTCGGGGTGTGCTCCGGCTCCCCACAGCGTCCTGCTCTAACCGCCACCCTTTCCTCTGCCTTTTAGGTGGGCCGATAACTTCAGCGCAGCTGGCTGCGGTGGGTCGGAGGAGCATGGCTTCCAGCACCCCTTCCTGCAGGTGAGCCCCCGGCCCGGGGCAGGACAGGCCTTGCCCGCAGGGCCACTCCCCTCACCCGCCTCTCTCGCCGGCTGTGGGCATGTTCCTGGGTGAATTTTCCTGGTGGGTCGGAGGAGCATGGCTTCCAGCACCCCTTCCTGCAGGTGAGCCCCCGGCCCGGGGCAGGACAGGCCTTGCCCGCAGGGCCACTCCCCTCCCCCGCCTCTCTCGCAGGCTGTGGGCATGTTCCTGGGTGAATTTTCCTGCCTGGGGGTGTTTTACCTGCTGGTGTGGAGGGATCGACGGGGGCCGGAGCCCAGCATGGCCCCGTCGCAGCCCTTCAGCCCGCTGCTCTTCTTGGCCCCCGCCCTCTGCGACATGACTGGGACCAGTATCATGTACGTGGGTAAGTGCTGGGGATGGGGACGCCGCCTCCATCCCCCACCCTTGCCCTGCAGAGACCTGGCCATCCCTGGGGCCAGACGTGGCTGTCCACCTGCAGGACTCTACAGTGCATTTGGTTTTGGGGGGTGATGAGGCTGAAGCTGACTAGACAGGTTTGAGCAAACACTTCCCACCCATGCAGCGAGTTGTGGCTGGGCTCAGTAAGCTGTGTTCCTCAGGGGGCATGGGGTTCCCACGAAGCTGGTTCTTGGCACGAGCTTTTCTGCTGCCAGCTCTAAGTAGGAGTTGG